ATATTTATGCCGCGTTGTATGACTGTAAACAGTTCTGACAGAGTATATTTGCTGAACATTTGTAAGTAATCAGAATAAACGATGTAAATATAGTAATCTTATTGGTAATTAAATATTTGAGAAGTTACGCCATTTGGCGTGAGGATCCTACTAATTAATAAAAATATGGCAACATTGTTATATGTATAAATATTATATTCTATTTATACATAAAACAATAAATTCAATATAAATACTATTGTATTTCATACCATTACATTTTTTTATAAACATATTAATTACACTTCATAGAAAAATCGTTCTAAACCAGAATGAGAAATCTTATTTAACTTATATAAAGCTACCATATTTATAATAATCACCATCATCATCATCAACAGCCTCTAACAGTCCACTGTACACATAGGCCTCTCCTTAGAAAGGAAGTTAAATAAAACTAAATAATAATAATAAATAAGTAATAATAATTTTCTATTATAATCCCCGATCAGATAATTGTTGAAGTTTAATAAAATACCCTTTTACCTTGCAACAACTTGTAACTATAGTAACGATGCTATTGACGAAAGTATTGAAATTGTAACTAAGTATTATCATTCTAAATCAAATCAAATCAAGCTGCTGCTGCCACAGCAGCATGCAAAATTAATACCCTGAACAATAATATAAAGATTGGAATTGAGGAAAGTCACAAATAAATGATGTTTATATAGTTATCACTGTAATATAAATTAAACATTGTTCTTTAATAACTGAACATACACATGTCATATGTTTACACCAATTTACTATCAATTAAATTATCGTTCACAGAATAATAACCTTTTTCAACTGACATTTCTTTGACTTTAAAAATAAATACTATATAAAGTAAATTTTTAAATATAAATAGGTACACTATCTTCGTAATATTATTATATAGATTGGTATTTTGGTAAACGATTGTATAATCGAACAGCCACACAAAGTGCGCTCCTATGTGCGCACTTTGTGTGGCTGTTCTTATGACGGGAGGGGTCATCTATAAGCCGTAGATGGCCCGATGGACGTCGGGGTACGTACGTAGGGCTTTCCTTTTTAGGGTATACCTAGTTCCCCGGCTACTGGTACCTGGAGACGGCGTGTGGTTTTTGGTCGGTTCGAGTCCGATATAACCACCCACCGGTGGGTGGTATCCGGTATCCGAGGGGAGTTCCGCACAGACAAAAAAAAAGGTACGTTAGGTGTTACGGTAACGGATGATTATGATGACATCTATTCTTGTTACGGGATGTGTTGAATAAGGCTCTGTAAATTCTTTAATACTCGAATTATTTGCTAATATTAGCTTGTTTAACGTAACTGTTCCATTCCATTCCAATATTAGTATGTATGTATTTATAAAACATCAGTTGCGAATATCCGAAAAAAAAGAACAGAACATCTGTGCCTGTGTTCGTATCCGCTACGTTGTGGTAGATCTTAAACGAATCTTGTACGTTATTAATTATAAAATATATTAATTGATATATATATATAGGTATTTCAGATAGGTAGTTCGTATGCTAGATTTATTTTGTACAATTAAGTATCCAATTTAATTATACACACAGTTATAAAGAACTCTTTGTTCGTCTTTATAATGAGATCGTATCCTAAATCCTTGTGATAGGTGTATTGACTATGACGTATTTAAAACAATAATTTAACAAGTCGAGACATTTCGTGTTTTTAAGTCCCCAACGTCAACTACTGTTCGAAGGCACGCTTATTGTCACTATCATCGTAGAATAAATATTGGTATCAACATTCAAGTATATACATTTTACGATCCGACACATTACTACGACTATGATATATACATACATACATATATCGCAATTGCAAAATGCAATTTACCACATTTTTTTTTTATGTTTTATAGTAAAATTGTTACACATTAGGTAGACAAACACCAGAAAGATTAATAACTGTTGCTCGTTTCACATTTTCAAACGCATTTTAGCCACGGAACTTTTTCTTTATAAATCTATTAAATGTATACTCAAATAAATTTTTCTACCTATTAATCTAAAATCCATTATCTTTACAGTACACGACTAATTAGTACCACAAAGGGCTTTACATAAACAACTACCATTGAAGCACTATTTTACCACAGACAATTAACTAGAAATTACGTACGCCTCAATGGGTGGGAACGAATATCAGCCTTCTATAGCTTCCTATATCGTACCTCTATGAATACATCAATCACCAATTAAAATTTAACACTTACAACCTTTACAAGGCTACAGTGAGTTGTTTATAATACTGTTATTTGTATTGAAGGCTCACAAAACGCGGCCTGTTAAAACAACACACGAGCGAAACCCAGGATAGCCACGTTTTTAGTAACAGTTGGTGATGGCGGAAAGCCAGCGATTGGCATATTTGTATCTTGAGCGCTGTTTTTAAGACCTAAGAACCAACCTATGAATAGGATTCTATTTGGTTTTCTTTAGTTCAGTTTAACTAATTACTCGGGAAAATACAGTGTTTCTTACACATCTTTTTCTGTAGTTTTCAAATGAAGTTTTGTGTACCGTTAATAAACTTGCTTACATACTTTTTAGTACTCGACATTTATCGTTACTTGAAACCTCCCAGACCCATAATGCTCCTTTTTACCGACCACAGAAAATTTCAAACATCAAGCATCTTGGGAAATAGTTATTTCTTTCTCATTTATTTGGTATTTTTATTAAATGTCTTACTAGAATGTATCAGGGATGTATTTAATGAAAAACAAATCTATATACCGTAGACTATTTAGATTTGACTAAGCAAAAGTTTTAGATGTTTATTATTTAGTCCATAAAACGGCTATCTAAGGTTTGCCACAAAATTGTTAAATTTACTTAAAATAATTTTATGAAACTATGAACTATGAAATCTTTGTTAACAACAGATCAGTTATTGTTGGATTACTGTATTATATATTTTTTTGTTATTTATTTTAATTGAAAATCTTTTAGTTCTCTTGACAATATGAATCGACAGCGAAACCTAAGAACTCATGGCAAGAGAGTGACATGAACTCTTAACTCTAAATTTTGGTTAACTTAAGTTTTTTTTACGAATAGCGCTATTTAATAAACAGAGTTTTTAACCACATTAGGTCATCGTCTTACACACTTGACAAAGTCTATAATAAGTGGATTGAAGTCGCAATTAAAAGCCTATCTTTTAAGTATTATTAGTGCGATACGGTGTGATACGGTACGATACTAAAATACTATGTCATGGACTATAAGGCAATCATTTAAATTTTGTAATTTTTCGTCAAAAAGGTTCTGTGTTCCACCGTAGGTTTTTTTATATGTGTTCACCGATGAAATTATTTTTGTTACAATAACTTCTAACACACGATTCTAATGATCACCAATATTATTCGCGAATTACCTAATCTAAACTATCGAAATATGAGCGAGAAACGGTGGTAAATTGCTTAGCACGAACATTAATTTTGTCGTAATTGGTTTCGGATGCGGAGTGAATAGAGCAATTTGGAGATGAGAATCTTTTTGCTCCCGTTGGTGCTACTGTAACACATGTACGTTAACTTAAAATACCACCAACAAAAATACTTAGGCCTGTAATTCTTTTTTATTCTGATTTTCGATTCCAATCCCGCTGATTGCGAAGCTTTTAGATGTTGGTTTATTATCGAAAGTAGGAGTAATTGGTGCTGGATGATTATTTCATTTACGGGCGAGGATATTTGTGAGTGAATTTATTTGTATCGTGTTCTCTTATTTACAATTTCAATACACGTTTATTGATATTTTGCTCACATTAGCTTACCTTTTCAAACGACTTTATTAAAAAAGGGAGGTTGTTAATTTGGCCGTTGTTAAAATTACCTACATTTTTTTTTAATCTATTGATAATTAAGAACACCAATTGAAGTCAGTTGCTACATTTTAAATATCAAATTATAAAAATGAGATTTCAGAATTGAATTTAGTGTTATTTTATTATTTTAGGTTGGTTGATTAACTAAAGTGAACCTAGAAGTGAATCTACTTTAAGAGCCTTTTGTTTTCGTTATATAAAAGAATATGCGACAGACAATAAACTTGGTCGTATAATTGAAAGTCACGTATTCGAGGATTTCTAACACTTCAATAAGCATTATTGCGCTCGCAAAACTCCTGTCTTCCAGCGTTTACATCGCAACTTTATTACTGCAAATGTGACGAAAATGTAAATAAAGGTTACAGCTATCTCTTGAACTCGTCGAATCTTTATTGTTACGGTAAAGGCGAGGAGCTTACATTTAAAATCTTTGAATTTTCTAATAAATTTATACCTTGTTTTAAGACCGATTTTTAAAAAGTGTATTCTACTCTATTCTGATCAAACACTTTTTATTTATAAACATTTTCCTTGAAAACCAAAAGTGACCGAGAAATCAGTATTTATATTTATGTTAAAATTACTGTTTTTAATACAAAAACTAACGTTTTAAAAATAAATTAAATCATAAAACACAATTCAAACTCGGAAATCAGTTTTTATTTAAATGGTTTGTGTAAAAAATTAATTTTCATGGCAGAATTACCTACTAAATATAGTAAAAAATAATCAAATAATAAGATCGGTGTGGTTACGGATTAAGAATACGGAGTATCACCACCCCTATTCATCCCGAGGGTTTCGTAAGAGCCGACTAAGGGAGCAAACTACGCAGGACAACAGCACTGCAAAGAGAAGAAAAACTTGAAACAAACCCTAAACTACCCGTCTGGCCAGCGTGGTATAGTAGGCCAAAACCTCCTTTCTAAGGAGAGGACTATGTCCAACAGTGTTCTACTAAAGGCTGTTGATGTGACGTATGTGATGGAATAATAACATTAATCTTACAATTAAGTTACTCATAGAGATTATTCATAATCGCATTATTTCGTTAGTTGCTGTCCCTGTTAATAAAGAATCCCAAAAACATTACATCTTGGATTAGAATTCAAATCACTTACTCGAGGTGTCCTTTATAGATATCAAAGTCAGTGAAGACGAGTTCGACAATTTCGTGAGGCGCCGCGACGAACGTGTAGAGAAGGCAGTCAATGTGCGGTGGGTAGGGACGCGGGTAGTCCGGGCTGCTAAACGTGCCGCGCTCCTTGGCGTAGGTAGACTTGAAGCGTAGACACGTACAACCTGATGATTGAAACAAATGAAGTAAGCTTTTGTCAAAAACTTTCATTTGTCAAATACTGCAAAAGTATATCACAAAGTAAAAGTCGGTAAATCGGTTTAATTGTAAGTTATATAAAATGGAAACAGTATAGACGGTGTGTCAATTCCAAAACAGAATTCCAAAATAGATATGTCACGAAATCGTATCTATACTTAGGGATATTTTCACTAGCGAAGTCAAAAGCAATATTTCAAGTGAAATATTTTGGTTACTAGTTTGTGATGCTTTTAAGATAATTGTTTATTTATCTACTGAAATGACCAACATAAAATTTCTCACACGCAGATAAGTACATCGAGTGTGTAAGTAGAATTTGTTAACAAAAAAGAAAACATTTATCCTGAATTAATCGTCAAAAGCTACATTAATACAAGAAAAGAATTATATATAAAAAATTAAAATACAGTCAAAAGTAGAAGAAGTAAATTAGTAGAAGAAGAGAATTGAAATATTTTTTAACGCTTAAAATGGTAAAATGTTATTTATGTAGTACAATTTGTAAATATATATTCTTAGTCGTACACGATGATTGAGAGGACATAAATGTCAGACTATGTAGCTCGTTGAATGACTTGGCTTAATTTCATCGCTAAGGTATTTGCCGATTGAACGGTTTTTAGGGTGTAATACATTTCATCACACAGTAATGATCTTTGTCAAAGTGTGTGTTGTAGATACATATACCACGTAGCATTTCGCTCTAATGTATGTTTTTGATATTTGCGTTATTGTGTTTATATAACTGCGATTCATATCAAATACGTACGCTTTTTAATAATAAACTTCATAAAATGATAAAATAAAAAATAAATGTTAGTGAAACTCCAACGTGAGTTTAAATACCCTCTTGCGTATTCAAACCATATACAGTGGAGACTGACGACCTTACAAAGAAAAAAACATTACCCAAAAAACACGAATCCATTGTCCTAAATATGTGACATTCTCACATAATAAAAAACACAAAGGTGCTCATTCTACATCGTAATTACCTTACAACGATATAATGAAAGCTATAACGACAATGCTTAATGAAACAGAGGGAACAAATGAAACGTCAAAAAAAGGAGGTGACGAACATAGCACGCGATTTGGGGCTTTGGCAATGATGAATATTTTATGTAAAAATCCTCAGGCGTCGACTTGGAGTTCACCGTAATCTTCAACGGCGTCAAATGAGATATTCAAGACGTTATTTTGTACGAAATTGTAGATAAACTTGCGTTACACAAAATTTTATTTGCGGTATAATTTTTTGGGAAAACATCTCCGCGATGTTTTGAAACTCCTCCAACGGCATAATCGGCTGAACATGAATGATAATAACTTTACACAATACCACAACTTATATCGTCGGTTTATTTTATTACACCATTTATATATACTTTTGAGATGTTTTATATATTATTTTGAATAAATATTATGTGACGTAGTATTGTGACCCAAGGAGAAGAGATTTTTTTTGTAAGAGATTTAGATAAAATCTGCTCACTAGCTTATAAACCTGTTATTTCTTGGTGATTTCATTTATGATATCACTCAAAATCTATTAGTTTTTTTTCTGTACAAGAGTGTGCTAAGTGCTGCTTTGGAGGTAGGATGTGACCCCGTTTTGAACCATTAAAGTTTTCTGGATTATCGTCTATAATAATCTATTGTCGTTTATCGTCTGGACGTTCTCTCAAAAAAATGGAACCTATACCGGCCTATAGGTAAAAACTCTTTAAAAAATATCTAGCACCTTACTCTTTCAGGTTTGGAGAGCCTAGCCGTTAACTTGACAAGCCACAAACTAAAACGGTTTGCGAGCAATCACTGCATAGAGAAAGTTACGGCTCCTGAAACTAATACCGAGTAGGCGTTACATAAAACATTTTGGTCTAACTCTATTAGTTAAAAACTATTTCATATACATTTGGAACTTGGTTTGATGATTATCATTCTGAAAATAGAGCCTCGGGTAATATCAGAAGAAGCTTATGTCAGAAATTCATATCAAGAGTTTGATGCAATGCGTCATACATTATAACGACACATAGTACTCGTAAGATAATGGCCATATAATAGATCCTTCTGTATGTAAACTATTAGTATTTTTACGTAATCAGTAAACGACTTAAAAAAATTGGCATTTTTTACAGCAGTCAGTAATAATAATCAATTAAAGTATATTTTCATTTTCTATTAAATACGAACCAAAAAATTCATTCAATTAAACATAAACATTTCAAAAGTTCTAGAATGTGTATATAAAATTACTCATATAAAAATATAAAAAAAAAACCTCCAGCTGTAGCGTTCATTTTGATTACAGTTCACTCCCAAAGTAAATCAATAGTATACCAGGAATTCTCATTATTTCCATAATAACACAATTAAACTAAACGTGCCGTTTGTAGTTAGCTATTTAGTTCTGTTTTGTAAATTCGTAACCCAATTCTAATTGAAACTAGCATGTATCTAACGACCAGTAGGCAGCAACCATTATATGACTCATGTGGTAATAGTAGCTATTTATGTAGCAGTCCTGCGGTATCACTTACAATTTACATTTTATTTTCATTGATTGGCTCCTAAAACTAGATGGTTCAATTTTGATAAAGGAAGGAACAAAAAGAAACATAATCTCAGTATTTTTTAAAGATTATAAATTCTTCACGAAAATACCCCAGTAATATCTATTTTATAAATTCGGTGACCATTACTCTTCAATTGCAGTCATAAATTAACTAACATAGTTTTGATAGTTCATCATTGATCACTGAATCCAAAAATTATCTTAACATTTCTGTAACAGTTTTGAAAGTCAATAAAGTAGCCAAGTAATAATACTACACGCTTTAGGATAAATACCCAAAAAATCCTTTTCCTGAAAGGGCGTACATATATATAATTTAATAATCCATAAAAATATTTTTCTACAAGTTATTTCACCACTTTGTCAGTGCGCAAAGTAACAGCTACATGGTCACTAAAGTACAGATACAGTGAGACAGAAGATGAATAGACATGGTGAAATAATAAGGGTTTCTTGTTAGGACTACGGAACTCTAAAATACCAATGAAATTAAAATGTCACAACCCTGGGGCTACAGCCAATTCAATTCCTAAGGAATTTCTTCATAACTAATTTGATTTCTTTATAAATAAAGTTTGACAATTACCTTGCCATAAAAATACAATAAATTAACCCACATTTTTGTTTACGTTTGAACTAATCTAAGCTGTAATAACCGTAATACCTCATGTATCATATTGAAAGATTCCAACAGGCCTTTTATGTCACCAATAAAAGAGTTGACGTTGATGTGAGTATAATACACATAAAATTAGATCGTAAAATGTTTGACATCACAAAATATATTGAAGAGGCAGTTTCAAATTATGAATGTTTTATGTCTTTCTAATATTATATTAGTCAAATATATTTAACGCGTGAAAGGAGTAAATTTTCTTTACAACATAAAATATAAGAACAAAGATAATAACATGGCCCCCGTTAATAAAATTATCCTATGCCATATCGTCGACAAGGCTACAAAAACGCGAAAGAGCAGTTTGCAATACCGTGTATTTTTCGCAAAACGTATCCTATTATCCAAAATAATCAATTATCTCTTCTTCTTTTAAAATTCTCTAAACTCCTGCCGAGATAAAACATGTTAGTGTATGTAGATATATTTGTTTATTAAAGTGTACGAGTAGTTAACAGTCAACTCATTATATACATTAGAATAACTTAGACATTGTTAAGATCGACTATAAGCCAACGTGTAAACCTCACAATAATTACACATTAAAAACGAACTTAAATTCACTATTTGCGTTTACATTTAACTTGGTAGCAAGAAAATGTTTAACCTGCTTGAAGAAGTTGAAGTACTGTAGTAATAATTGCAAATTTACAAGTTAAACCTTGTGTAAGCCATTGTGAAACACTAAATACATTAGAGAGCAACGATTTGGGTCGGAATGTGAATATCTTCAAGAAATAACTGTAAGGAGTCAGAAGCTTGAAGAGATAGCCATCTTCTAATTAAGCGTGCTTGGAATAAAGCGTAAGACGACGAAAGTGTGAGGGGAGACACACACACAGTCACACTTGCAGAATTGCTCTCATAGAGGAATGACGGTATTTTCCCTAACATCGTATGAAAAAAAACGCATTTCAAACCAGTACAATAAACAGAAAAACAGGTACTTAAAGATTGGATTCATCTTAAAGGTTATCCCTCATCAACTAGTAACAAGAATCAATGCAATAGGACAGTAAATCTTGATTAGGAGTGCAAGTTAAGTTTTTTTTATTCTTGTTTATAAATTCTTAGACATAGCCATATATTTATTGCTTCATGTAAAAAAATATAAACATATTTAAATAATAAACATACACTCAAAGAATAATCTTTCTTTACTTTGACAAGATCGTCGAGGAGCCTCATGTTATGAAATTAGCAATTAAGACCGTGGTTGCATATATTATTTAAAGTTTGACTGGTCTTCTTTGTACAATACGTCTAAAAGGATTGAGGACAGCTATAAATAAGATCCCAGTGGTTATAACCATGTGTTACTCCTTAATAGTTGAAATCACAACGAGGCTAATTTATTCTAAATGGAACTACGTTAAACTATAATTCTGAAAAGTTCTTTGAGGCTGTAACATTCTGAGTTGGTTATGGATGCATAATTTATTAAAGCGTGCTCACCACAACCAGCCGGGACTGTGGAACGCTTAGCAATTGTAAGTGGATGTACGAATATCGTAAAAATTTGTAAACAAGGGAAGCAAAGAGAATATTACATTTTTTCCGCGTTACCATCCAGACAATAAAAATATTACACCTGCTGTTTTTTTACGCTTAAGTTGAAGATAATATTCTGGGAAATATATACCACAGCGCTATATTTCTAGTTTATGAAATGAATGTTATACTATGTATAGCTTATACTGTGGGCTCTAAAAAAGAGTAGCATACTAATGTTTGCTTTGTATTTCTACACATGTAAATAGTTACATTCGTTCATATAAAAATGTTCGTTAAGTACGATATAACTTTTGTCTTAAACGTTCCAGCTATATGTTTCGCCATGCTACAGAGATCGTTATAATGTCGTTATATCTTATTAACTAGTTTTTAGTTGTGGATAAATTCGTGTGAATGTAGGTTTTGAAGAACATGCAACATTTCAATAATCAGTTAAGTAGACTTAAAGGGTAACAAATAAAGAAAGAGCCTAACTTTAGCATTTATAACATCAAGACTTTACCCATTTTTTGGGTTCCGTTTCTGTCATCTTACATTATAATAAAGCTTACTTGCCTTTCATTTTCTTAAAAACTTTTACTCTATATTAAGCCAAAGTGAACTAGGAGTCCTTTGTTCCAAACTAATAATATTCTAAAAAGAAAAACTTTTACTAAATGCCAATAGCAGTATCGGACACTAAAGGTCTCTAAAGATTAAGGTTCAAAAAACATTCAAAGAAGCGAAAATCCGCTTTATTACGCTACAAAAGTTACAAATTACGGTCGCAGTAAACAAAATGATATTAAGCTAACAAAACGAGAGTACTTTTATACTCACTTGGATTTACTGCGTGTCCTTCGTCGACTGTGTGAAGAGATAAGTGGAGTAGCAGGATAAACGTGGTTGATGTCTGAAATATAAAATTAAATTGGTTTATAAACATTAAATTTATTAGTCCGCGGCTACAAGTTTACTTTTTATCCTATCAGTGTGCAATGCTTGTAGTATGTAGTATATAGTGCTCTGGGAACAAACTGAAACGATTTAAAATAATATGGGCTGTCTCCACAATATATTGACCACACATTATTCAAATATATAAAGATTTTAACTACTAAATAAATTGACATAGAAATAGTAGTTGCTAACAAAGAGAACCCTTTTGAATCGAAAACTGTGTCAAAGATAATCCTTTTCTAAGAATTGACAGTTTTTGTCCACGCTACAGTGGGCTCCGACAGAATACGAACGCATCGAAAAGAATACGAACTGCTTCATTTGAAATCCAATGCGCTGACTTATCTACTCCATCGGTAGCTTTCTGCATTCACAAGGTTCTTTTTTAAACACACTTTCTGGGCATATTGGTTTTTCTAATCTTACAAAGTTGATCTTAGTGTCATAGCACAATGTAATTACCATGTATACTTTAAAGAATTGGCTTGCAGATAGATGGGTAAAAAATGCTAACAAACAAAATTATTTGTGCAAAAAAAACATGAAACTTCTTTTAAATTTTAAAATTTATGTTTTTAATAAGTTCGTTATTAAAATACGATAATCCTTTATATTAGATGAAATATAGTACTATTATGTACTATTATCCAGCTACTAATCAAGATTGTAAAAGCCTAATTTTCTGTACTTGTTGGAACGAAGTTCCTTGAAGATGACGAAGAAAACGATACGTGCATATTATAGTAGAGAAAATTCGATAATTTCAAAGATTTATCGTAAAAAGCATGTTTTTGTGCGCTTACATTGAAAACGCTGGTTAAACCTTACGAGATAGACAAAATAATGTACTACTGAATTGTATTATCTTAAAAAGGTCTAAAAAAAATTCAATATGGGTTTTTGTCTATCTCCTAAGGATAAACCACAGTAACCATTTTAATCTTCAAATATTACAAAAAAAATGAATCATTAAATTGAATTACGAAGCTATTTTAAACAAAATAAACTGTCAAACTCTATAAACAACAAGAACAAACCAGCAACCAAAATAGTTTATGAAAATATTAAACTTAAATGTGTTAATTTTTAACGTTTAGTAATTTTTCAAAATTGATAATAATATACATAAATAAATTTATCTTATGAAAAATAATTACTTCATTATCAAATTTTTCGTAAACTTACAGTCATATTAGACTAACAGGATTTTAAAAAATATATCTTGAAATGAAAACAAAAAGTTTAAAAAAATGATCAGGCACTGAGGCTCGAATAGTCACATCTCGCCATCAGGCAAACAGTGGAAGTAAGCTAATTATACTATTATTCCACTGGTTCTAATAACTACTATGTTGAATTTTAGCATCGCTTTCAAATAGGTGTTACCACTGGAAAAAAGAAAACGTATAGCATTTAACATAGGTATCTAGGTATCTAGTGTTGAAAAGTAAGGTTGTTACAGAACCGACAACGTGTTTTAGCTTGTTTGTCTAGCTATATAGGCATTTGCGTTTAGTAGTCATTATGCCATAATGCTGAGCTGACGATAGAAGGGTCCTTGACCTTTAGGAGTTAGAGGATAACTTTTTCAAAAATCTAATCATGCTTTTACCTTGTTTTTTCTTTCAAAATATTTATTAGGTGTTTGTGTTGGGTTACAGAAATATGAGCACAAAAGATAATTAAATATGAGATTACAAAGCATTTAGACAAAAAAAAAATATGTTACGCAATTATTTTAAGTATTTAAACTTTATGCACAAACGTGACAAAGGCGGACTTAAAGCCGTAGGCATTTCTCCCAGTCAACCTTAGGGCGATGCAGAGCGAAAACATGGTAGATGCACAAAATAAATTAGAAATGTGATTTTATGAAAAATAGTAATTAATATTAATTACATTAGAATATTTTTAATAAGTATAAGTAAATCAGTAAAAATAATACTAACACACAGCATATACATACATATAATTATATTATATACACACACACACATATTATATATATATATATATAAATATATAGAAGAGAAAGAAACAAAAAAAAGATGGATGTGATAAGGAGTTTAAAAAAATGTTTCCGCAACAGGTATTTAAAGGTTTGCCGAGTTTTTGCCAGATTTGTAATTATTTTTTAATTTTTAGTGCTCTTCGTCAGTATTATGTGAAGTCGGTTCAACTTTTTTAAAAAGCATTCATTAACATTTCGTAGTGATTGGAGAAGCAATTAATGTGTTTCAATCCAAAACTATTTTTTTTGTAAGGAAGGATTCCTAGAATCAACTAAAAGATCTTCGTATAAATGGTATATAAACAAAAGTGTAATTATACAATCAGTATTGAGGTCGCTGTAACCTTAATATATCAATGGCCCGATAACAGGACTGTAACACGACTAATGCATTACGTCTCTCTACGAAACCTTACAACTACTTGTGTCGTTCATACCTTCCTATATAAGTACGTAGTCTAATAGGATCATTACGAAATTCGAAGTGACACATAAGGTTGCTTAATACCAATACGCTGTAGAATATATTTCATTCAAGCTCAATAGGTAATATAAGAACAGTAGTTTTCGATATTTCCTTTAATGGAGTATTTGGGAATATAGATGTACAGTCACGTACATGGATATTTAAAGTTAACAAATTCATGTTAATAGTTAATATTTGAAAAATTCAAACAGGGTCAACATTATGTATACTTTTTTCGTAGGCAATTAGTGAATACTAAGTTTTGTTTTTTTTATACTAAACTGAAATTTGGGCAAAAGGCAAGTGTAAAGTTTAAATCGGTACGTTCGAAATACCGTAAATAATATATTATTTTTTGTCATTTTTATTTATATTCACATCAACAGCCTATAATAGTCCACTGCTGGATATATGCCTCTCCTTAGAAAGGAGGTTTTGGCCTACTATACCACGCTGGCCAGACGGGTTGGTATAGGGTTTGTGTCAAGTTTTCCTTCTCTTTGCAGTGCTGTTGGCTGCGTAGTTGGCTCCCTTAGTCGGCTCTTACGACACCCACGGGATGAATAGGGGTGGTGACACTCTGTATTCTTAATCCATCATCACACGGAAATGTAATTTATAAATAAAAATGTTAATGCCAAATAATCATTAAATTACCAAAAATATAATTTTATTTTTATTATTATTTGTTCAAAAAGAAAGATAAATAATACAAATATTTTGAATTTATGTATTTTGAATATGGGATCTGTGGTGAGTTTCAGAAACAGTGAAAATATAAACATACTACAGCGCAATCTAATGACGACAGAGTTAACTAATTCTCTATGGTGACATAAATAATTCTCAACCCGGTTAGCATAAATTCAATTTCCCAACAAAGACTGTTGGCCTGAAGACATGAACACCTCGCCTGGTCGGAGGATCCTCCCTTTGTATATATATATAAATCTAATCTTAAACATTTTAAGTTTAACTATTTTCGTTAATTTAGGTCTGCTGATTATTAAAAATATTGGCAAACTTAAATTCTTGTGTAACCTCCGTGAGGATCAATGAAGCGATGCTTAATCTTGCTCCCAATACATAGTTTGAAGGTAGATTGGAAAATCATAAATGAATAAAAACAGTCCATGCTATCGCCCCCCCGGCCCCCCCCCTGAGTACATTCATAACGTTATAAAAAGCACAAAAATTAATGTTTAAATTATAGTGTAAACTGCATTGTGTACATGTTTATTAAAATTGATACACATTTACCAGAATAGTGATAAGTGCTACAATTTTATATACATATACGAGTAAACGATATAAATCACAGTCGTAATTGTTCGCGTTATTACAAATGTCTGAATACTATTTGTGTAAATAATTTTGGCAAAAATGTGCACATTTTTATGAAGCCCTTTGATGGTTATATAATATGTGCGGTTTTAATGATTATTTGTTTTTGATTTTTTTGAGTGAACATTTAATATTCTGTCCATGTATACATTTCATTATTCACAATTGACCATGGTTCGTTTTTATTTGTGTAGATGTACATCAGTGGTGACGTCAAAGTTTCTGTTAACCCATTCTAAGTATAATTGATGAAGGAAATACATAGTGTTAAAATCTGTCTCCTGTCAAATTTGAACATTCGTCGGGGTGACCGTTGTTGAATAATGTATTTTGCTGTTAACGCATGGGTAATTTGGTTATCGTCGGATATTATGACTGTAATGTTATGTTTTAGTCCGCCTATGATCACCGTTAGTGCAACCTGATCAGAACGTCAGGCAATACAAAAGTTTGTAACACCTATCAATTATATAAGTATCATGGATCGAATTTATGTCAATTAGTTTCATATTCCTAACTAAACTGTATTACGTTATATAGTTAAACTACTTATAGTTTCAATTGAGCTATCAACCATATTTTGTGGTTATTGAATACTTGAGTCATTGTTGCCAATAATTACCTGAAATATCACAATTATTTACTAAACATCTCAAAATCAAATAACTCACATCATTTTGTAAAACTAACAAAACTTAGTAAGCAAAGCTGGCAGCATGATTAAATACTCCCTAAGACTATTGTTGTAAAACCAACTAGTTATTACCCAAGAACACAACAATAGTTAATTAAAACAGTTAATTAATAACATACAAACCTGAATGGGGTGTGCTTTAACATTAAACCGTCATATGTAAGACGAAGTAAACCTGAGCCTCTATTGTATAAATCCGTTCATTTCAGCGTGAAGGCGACAGCATGTATTAAAGTATTATGTGAAAGTGAGATATAAATACAAGGCATTATAGTGATTTGCATATTACGTCATACTAACTTATATATACATGATACGATACCAGAGGGGCTCGGCAACCCCAGCTACCTGCCCACCCATATTCCTGCCACTACCTTTCAACCAACTTCGATCCTGGGCCAGACAACGGAGTCGTAAAGCACACAACCGGAGCCGGCTGCCTGTTTGCAGCCAAACTGGTGCCGACTGAAGTCACACTACGACTCACTTGCAGACTGAGCAGTTTTAGAAGACTAGGCATTCGAATAGTTGTAGGAACCGTAATAGGACACCTAGCCGTAAACCGACAACTATTAGCGACTGGCCTGTTGGTCTAGTGGTTAGTGATCCTGACTGCTGCGCCAGAGATCGTGGGTTCAATTCCCACCCAGAACAAATAATTGTGTGATGAGCACGGGCATTTGTTCTGTATCTGGGTGTACTTTATCTGTAAAATGTTTGTATTTAGAAATATATACGTATGTTTATCAGCAGTCTGGTTCCCATAGTACAGGCTCAGCCTAGTATGGACGGGTGTGTGAAATATGTGAGAATATTATATAATAATAAATATAATAAAAATATTTTGATTTATCT